GGTGTCGGATCTGCCTGCTCTTCCGAAGGCACAAAGATCATGCCCTCGAGGATCGTTGTCCACTGATTCTCATTATGAATCAGGGATTCCGTGCTGGCGGCATTCAGTTGGTCCCGTGCTGCTGCTTCATCCTCAGCAGTCTGCTGAGCTTGGGCTGCCGCCTCGTTGGCCAGCCGCTGACGCTGCGCCTCTGCTTCTTCCTGTGCCTTTGCGGTTGCTACGGCATCGGTGAATGCCTGTACCCGCTGAAGGTAATCTGCCAACGGCTCGCCGGCCCCTTGGACCGGGCATGCGGGAAGAACTCCGGTGGTAACCGGTACCGTCAATGATGTACTCGATGCCGCTGGAGTCGTCCCGCTGCTGAGTCGCTGAGTCCTGCGTCGGAGAGGTATCACTGAGCGGTCACGCCCTGCAAGCCTGGCACTGCGTCGTGGCAGTGCCCCGGTGTCTTGTTCCATCGACATCAGTGCTAGCTGATGTGGTCCTTGAGGAACCCGGTGGTCACAGAGTACGGGGAGGGTAGGGAGGGTGGGAACAGGGGTAGAACAGTCAAACAATTCGCATACAGTCCCCTGTCCCACTGATGGACTGTAGACACCTAATCAAAACAGAAAAGTAATTTTCCCGTAAAGGATTGAAAAATTCGTAATAAGGAATTTAATGACGATTTATTTAATCAATAAAATTGAATTAATGATTAATACGAAATAATAACTCTTCAAATAACAATATTTGCAATAATGATGATAATCAATAAACAATGTTTGCAATAATGATAATGAACRAATTTGAATTGTATTTAGATTAGGTATCTGTTGAGATCAATGCTGGTCCGGGAGTTCACCGTTAATTAGTGAACTACCCGGAAGTTGCAGTTTTGAGGGTCAGATACGGATTAGTTTGCTCGAAAAAAATTTCGGAAAAATTCAGAAGGAAAAACACTCGAATTTTCAAAAACGTGCAATTTCGGGGATTCCCACCGTCAAAATCCGATTTTTAAAGGCTTAAACCCGTTTTCGGAATTTCTCCAACAAGGGGAACGAAAAAAATTTCGCAAAAATTTCGGTCCCAACCCTAATTTTCTGCGTTTCGGCGGAATTTCCGGATTTACGGTCCCAAAACGTTCGAATTTCCCCAAGTTGATCTAAAAAACAAAGATTTTCGTAACCCTAATTTCCAATACTGAAAAACAACGGAAATCCAAAAGAAAACGAAATATAGGATTTACAACAACATGCCGAAAAACGGAATGCTGAATGGAAATCAGAAAAGCCGAATTTCAACATGATACTGATTCAACCCTAATACGTGTAAAATCAGAAATCCGAAACTTAATCAATTATCGGATTAGTATTACTCAATCGGAACCCAAATAAACAGCATACCGGAAGGAAACAGAAATCCGAATTATAAGTCTGAATACCGAATTGATATGGCAATGCCGAAATAAGTAGAATACCGAAAAAGAAAAAGAAAAAAATGCAACTTTGAACTCGATAGTAATTCAGAGCTGATTTGGATGATTGAAACAACAATCTACGTCCTCATCAGACTTACTTGGTGAGCAGATCCGTTAATATGGTCTGCTCCGATACGAAAACTGTTTACATACTTCAATGAGTATGGGCAGAACCAAAGATCAACCAATGTAGGATGAGCATATATGCAGCGGAAGTCTGATAAACGGACTGACTCTCAAAGACTGACTCACACAGACTGACTCAAGAATCACTCCACACACATACACGGATGAGAGGTGGGAGGAGAGACGAAGGAGGTGGGGGAGGTAGACAGCACCGAAGGTCACCGAGATAGAGTCTGATAGGTCACCGATATGGTAGTC